GGATCTGAGGACCAGAGAGACGAGATCTAGTCACCACCACACACACTTCTACATCACCATCACGCGGCACCACCACCGCAACCTCCACGTCGGCTACACCACCACCACGTCGGTGAGAAGAGAAGAGACGGACGGCGAGGATGGAGAAGAGAGAGATCGCGAAGGGAAGAAGAAGAAGAAGAAGAAGAAGAAGAAGAAGAAGAAGGAGGCGCAGAAGAAGTTGACGGCTAGGGTTTTCGTGTCTCCCGGGATTTTTCTGCAGAGCTTCGCTTCGCATTTTGTGAAATGAGGCAAAAGAGAAGGAGGCAGTCCCTTTATATAGGAAGGAGAAGGAAACTCTAGGGTTTTAACCCTATTGGGCCGTAGACAGGCCCATCTGCCTTATGAAAATTTTTGGGCCAAGTCATGGGTTGTTACACAGGCCATCTGGCCCAGAGTCTCAAGCTTCATAATCATGCGTCCATTATGCACCAGAGCGAGATCACCATCAGCTGCTGCAGGTCGTGCAGAGAATTCAGATGAGGAGTAGTGCTGTCTTTTTACTCCTTTACTATAGATGTTTTTACTTTCGCTTTGATTTATTTCGGATTTATGTTTGCACTTATTTGCTTTTTTTATTTGTTATGTTATACTTTGAGACTATCTATTATTTTTTCTACAAACATGTGTTTGAGTGTCTAAAGTTTCTAATTCTGCTGATTGATGAATCAATTATTTGGACTCCCTAACACTTTAACTTGAAAGGAGATTTATCTTGTATGTGTGGTATCAGTTGACACCGCCTTTGGTGGCGATCAACACCCGAGACAGAGAAAAACGGATTATTGCATCTCATTAACTAGCGAATTTTAATTTTATTTTAACCAATCTCAAACTACATGGCACTAGTGTTTAGCTATTAGGAGGTGTCTAATAACTTTGTGTTTTGTTTTGAGTGTCAGTTATATTGTTTTATAGAGTTAAATGATACGTCCTTGGATTTACCAATTTTACGCCATATTATAGGCCATATATATTGTGTCCGTTATGAACTTTGAGGATCTGTTTTAGGTCATTTTCAAATTTAGGTATGTTTGGGAACTTTGGAGCTTTTTGAGATGCATAACTGCTCAGAAGCGTCATAAATTTAGCAGTGGATGTAGATCTTCACGTGGTGAGATTGGACTCATCTATTGAAACAGGATAGAACATTGAGTTAGCTTTGCAATGCTACTGGTTTGAGGTCAATCAGAATCCTATATTTAAAGTTATGCTTGTTTTACTGAAAAGTATGTCTTACCCGCGAGCAGAAGCTGTCGAGGATTCAACTTTATGAGTAGCATCGACCGACGCTCCTCTGAGCATCGAACGAAGCCCATGCTGATCAGTACCCAACGTTTTTTTTTATCAATTTCCAATTATTGGGGTCAAAATCTGTCATGGGAAAATCAACTGCTAAAATTCTATCAGAAATTATGCCTTAAGAAAATATGACCAAGAAATGTTAAAGAAAACAATATGGCACAAACCGACCTATTTGCATAAGGCTACAAGAAAAAACTTCGTATATTTCATCCCAGACAAGGAATAAACAAATTTTACTTCATACACGAAAATATCAGAAAAAGGTTCTTGCGGAAGGTTTTTGGGATCAATGACAAGTTTTACAAAACAAGCTTCCGTTAAACAAAACGAAACCTTTCCAAAAAGTCTATAAAACAATCAACAGGAACATATGAGGATGGAACAAAAGGGCCATCACACCTCTTACTAGCCTGCTTGCCCGCTAGCCCACTAGCCTGCTAGCCAGCTAGCCCACCCGCCTACCCTCCCACTAACCCGCACGCCCGATATCCCACTCGCTCACTTATCCACTACCCTGCTGGCCCGCTATCCTACTCACCTGATAGCCCGCTCGCCCGCTAGCCCAGTCACCCACTAGCCCACTTGCCCGCTCTGGGTCACCAACAAAAGAATTGGACTATCTCCCTCTGGATCACCAGAAGGTGACCTGGATCATCACCCTCCGGGTCGCCAGCGGGCGACCAAGACCTTGTCCATCTGGGTCTCCAGCAGGCAACTAGGGCCTTTTTTGTCTGGGTCGCCAGCAGGCAACTGGGACCTTGTCCCTCCGAGTCACCAGCAGGCGAGCTCATATGTTCGACGTTGATCGCCACAAGGCGACCACAAAGCCTAGTCCCTCCGCTCACGTTGGTACGTACTCTCATCTCACCCTCATAGCCATGTCCCTCGAGTCTTGACCGAACTGTCTCTTATTTCGTCTCGGATGAAGTTATCGTTGAAACTTTACTATAAAAGTAGCAAAGACTTGTTCTCGTAAAAAAATCAAATCAATCTTATAAAAAGATAACGGTTAACTTAACACCCTATAAATATTATATGATTAGATCCATTGTCCCATAAAACTACTCAAAAATCCCTCTGATCAATCCTACCAAAACGGGAACATTTATGGTTAACATTAGTCGCATTAGTTAAGCCCACCGCAGCTATAGTTTCTGATATAAAACTCAGAACTAAATTTTTGGTATAGCTGCAAAACATGATTTTCCAAAAAGGGCTCTCGTAGAGCCAAACTCCAAACATCTTTACAAAAGTTTGTAAAATTAATCTCGTTAACATTTTGCAGAATAAGCTTCGTTAAATTAAGCTCGACAACATTTTACGAAATATCTTTTGTAAAAAAATAATCAATAACATTTTGCGGGATAACCTTCTTAGGATAAAGCCATACAACATTTTACAAAAACATCATTTTTTCCCTCTTTCAGGAAAACTTTCGTAGAATTAGGCCATACCAATACACTAATCTACAATAGAACCTTCGGAATATGAAACAAAGGTCATACAAAAAGACTCTTGCGAAAGGAAAGAGATGGACCACGATCCAAGAAGTGAACTTCGCCTATTAGCCTCTATCCATGGTCTCTACGACCTCATCGCCCTTGACATCTCTTGGTCACCTTTGGCTTCTCGTAAACGCCAAAAGACTTTTGATGAGGTACTTATTCATTTTTCTAAACCCACTTATACAGAGATTGAAACTCAGATAGGAAAAATATGGATCACCGAACCAAGGCTTCAGCCTAAACATGGCCAGGAAAGTAAAGAAATCCTGGAAGAATCGATACTCTTACTATGCGTAAGGGGTGGATAAACACGAGAAGAGGAAGGAAAATGAGCAAGAAAAACGGAGAAGAGGCAAACATAAATCTTCGAGAATACAAAGGTATGTCCGATTAGAAAAAAAAATTAAATCAGACTTGGAATTTTTCTACGAACAGAAAAACCATCTATGAAGATTGCCGTAAACTTTAAGGAACATAAAATCTTGGAAGATAATCTAGCCAACTAATAAATTTTAGGCAATTTTTCCTATCTATTGTTTCTTTGCTGTTCAGGCACATCTTTGAAACCGATCCAAATCCTCGCAAAACTGAGAGAAGATCACCACATATACTCAGCTCGCTTCCTAGAGAAAGAA